ACTTGTTTGGTTTACGTATTTCAGTGTACTTAATTTAACTTATTTATGTTATAGATTAATTGAATAAAATGATGGTGAGATTTCTTACTCTCTATTTTCCGGTCAAGGAGATTTCTTACTTTAATTCATCATTTATTAAAAAGAATATGGAGTTTTTTTCATTTCATGAAAAGAGAATATTTCTCCATGAAGGAATTAAAGTTCCATCTGATATTGACTTTTGCAGAACTTCTTACAGATCCTGAAACATTGTAATTTTAGATTTGCATATTCTCCTATAAACTTTTACATGTTTCACTAAAATTTATTGCCATTACAGACAGACGAGCGTATAGAGCAAAGTGTTACAAGAATGATGACAACAATTGATCTTGCCCGTAATATTCGTGAGCGTCACAACAAACCTCTCAAAACACCCCTGAGGTGTGTTTATAGCTTGCAGTCTGTTTCCAATTTTTTGTTCCATTTGCCTACCTTTTTATATTGATCTGAAAAAACTTGCCTCTTTTTTAAACAAATACAGGGAGATGGTTATTGTTCATCCTGATGCAGACTTTCTTGATGATATTGGTGGAAAGCTAAGAGAGGTATGTGATAATTTTTAATATTTGTAGACATTTGTGGTCAGTTAATCGATTCATGGTACCACCTAATTCACTATTGTTTATACAACTCTCTTTCCGGTCATACATGGTAGCCTTGTAACCTTTGAGTCGAAACAGCTTTAACAAGTAGTTGTTTGGGCTCCTTTTATTAATTTTTCAATGTCTGTTTATTGTTACTTCCAATACATCATGGTTGTGTTTTCGGCAATCATTTGAAGCAAAAGATACAAGGCTTTTATGAAGAAAAAGAAAAGTGAATTTATAAAAGGAAAATCTGTGGTTGATGTACCTTGAAGCAGCTCCTAAGAATCCAACATAGTTTACAGATGAAATTTTTGCTTCGCCTAAGCGTGCGGCAGACCAGTAAATGTCCTCTACCAAAAGGGTTTGGGCTGTAATACTTTGGGATTTTAGCTCTCTTTATTCTTTTATTTGATAAAATCAAAATTGGCTTGCAGCTGGATTTTACATGCTTTAACCCCACTCTTCCTTACATGTTCTTCACAATTTACGTACATTTGTCTTTCAGTTAATCCGGCTCTCACAAATCTCTTGTTCTGGCAAAAGTAATATTATTTTTACCAATTGTTTTTGTGATAACGGATCGCCTAATAACTGTATGTGGTAGTACATTGCTCTTGTAGTTACCTTTGCAAAGTATAATTGTAAACAATTCGGGTAAGGGATAGAAATGAAAGCTGAGGATATTTCATCAAGTTTCATTAGCTACTAACTATGATCTTTAGTAGTGGCTTGGTTCAAACCCCATGCAGATGGACTCCTTTTTTCTGGGTCTTGCGCATTATTCTTCAGCAGCTAACAGATTAATTGTTTTCCTTTTGAACTCAGTATGTATTGGAGGAACTTAATGTAAGATCTCTTGTCCCATGTAATGATACACTGAAGTATGCTTCATTACGAGCAGAGCCTGATTTTAGGTATGAGAACATGGGAACATTTTGATTTTTTTTTTGTTAAATTTATTTTGGGGATAGGGGCTAAAGAAAGCTGAATGTTGTGCCATGTATTTATATTTAATGGTTTTGTTCATCTTATTTCTTACAGCGTATTAGGTAAGCGACTTGGAAAATCTATGGGAGTTGTTGCCAAAGAAGTCAAGGCCATGTCTCAAGAAAGCATTTTAGCATTCGAGAAAGCTGGAGAAGTTACTCTTTCTGGTCATTGTTTAAAGCTGGGTGATATTAAGGTGCTCATCTTTTCATCTATAGTTTCCCCTCAACTTCTTTGCCATGCTATTCCATCCTCCTTTTGACTTATATTTTATATTTGATTTATCCTGGTTGAAGGCATTTAAGGTATTATCAATTTTAGGTAGCCTCTTTCTATCAACAAAAAGATTTGTCTTTCTTGTGGAAAACATTTGTTTATGTGGGATGCTGGCTTAAACAGCCACCAGGAACTCCACTGACAGCATAACTCCGTTTTATTTTCATTCCTTTTATGTCCAGGTTGTTAGGGATTTCAAACGTCCTAATGGAACGACAGAAAAGGAGATTGATGCTACAGGGGACGGTGGGATTTTTTAGATCATCTTGTAATACGTTTTCTGACTTGTTTTTGGGTCTTACATTTTCCTCTGTTCCACATCTCAGGTGATGTTTTGGTGATTTTGGATTTACGTCCAGATGAGTCATTGTTTGAGGCCGGTATTGCTCGTGAGGTAATTTTCCTACTTTTGTTGGGTTTATGCTGGGTGAACAGTTCTAATTATTTTGGTGCAACATTGTTTGGCTCTTTGTTCTAAATATGATAAAAGTGGGAAACCTTCAGTCAAAAAAAGGTTGAAAGGGCTATCCTTGCACCCTGTTGCCAAAATTTTGGCGACTCTCAGTGACGGTGGAAAGTGAGTCTTTTCGCTGGCAGCCAAAATTGAAAGGATATACTTTTACTTCATATTTTTGTTAAAAGGTGGGTGGGAAGATAGGACATAGGTTGGGAATAGCAGCAACTATTTTTATTACTGAACATATTTACATTTTTATTCCTTATGTTCAATCGTGATGTAGTGGGCAATAAAAAATTGTGAGGCCTTTCACAGTAGTTGAGTGAATGTGATACCTATATATAGGAATCATACATACTGAGTTTGATACCTTTACACTAGTGAGTTCAAAATTGTTAAGAGTCATACTTTAGACCCTACTAGTTTATAAGTATCACATTCATGAGTTTAATATATATGTATCACACTCAAAATTTTCGCCCCACTGTAAGAGTGATTCCTATATGAGCTCAATATATTGGTATCACACAGTTTTTCCGGCCTATTGTCGAACACCTTACTACATTTATTTTGGTCTGCTAGTTATTAATATAGGAACTGATAACATTTCTACTGAAATTTTCCCAAACCCATATCAGATTGTGAACAGAATTCAGAAGTTAAGGAAGAAAGCTGCCCTTGAACCTACTGACATGATGGAGGCATACTTTGAATCGTTGGATCAAGATAAATCAGTCTCACAACGGGTTTTGCACTCCCAGGTATTATTTTTGTACATACAGGTTGTGCACTCCCATTTGTCAGTGACATTCAGTTTGATGTGAGTAACAACTTTATGATTTTGGATTCGAAAGTTTGATGGAGTTATGATTGGTTATGATTGATTTAGCATTGTTGCTTAAACATCTATACTTTATGAACTTTTTCCCCACATCCTGTACAACTATTTTGGGTAGTAGATTAATCTCTTTTCCAAGCTGATTGGGTGAGTGTTTTGTGTGCAGGAACAATACATTAGGGATGCCATTGGTTTGCCATTGCTTCTGTCTAGTGTGATGCCATCAGATGCTGTAATTTGCACTCGCTAGAGACTGCTTTATTTTGTTTAGCTGCATTTTTTATTTATTTTTGGTATGGATGTTAAGTAGCCACTTGAATCTCGATATTTTCTTTTTGTTGTATGCATTACAAATTGCAGGTCATTGTTGCGGAGGAGAGTTTCCATGGGATATCTGGCATGTCATTTGTTATCAGTTTGACCCGACCTGCACCAGTGCTTAACTCAGATGCAATTCTTTCTCTATATTCAGGTCGGTACTCTCTTCGCCAAAAATTACTGTGGTATTAAACTAGGAGTTTTATAAGTCCGTTCCACTACACCACTTGTGATTTTGTGCCTCGAACCATTTTTACTTGTTTCGATCCTCTGGTCCAAATATTTGTTAATGGTTGCAGGAAACACAGAATTTGCACGGGCTCTGCAAATGTACTTGTTATCAAGGGATCATGCAAATTTGAAGTTCGAGTTTCAACATGGAAAGGGAAAGGTATGTTTACCTTTTATTCCGTTGATCTGTTTTCGTCTCAGGAAAAAAGCATGTAATTAGATGGTACTCATTATGCCTTGCTTGCCTTTGTGCAGATAAATGTTGATTGCATTGAGAACATCCCTGCTGTGGAACTGGTGTTGGGGGATCATGTATTCTTGACCGTAGGGGACTTCATTTCTAGAACAAAATCTCAGTAGTTTGCTTCTCTTTTGGGAATATATTTGGTAGATTTGTTATCCCATCATTTGTTTCGGTTTTCTTGTCAAAACAGTCAGGGAAGAATCGATTAGAAAACAAATACACGAGCCTATACTGCGGCCAGTTGTGTTTTGCGCTTTTATTTGTTGTACAGATGTAAACGACACATACTGAAAGCAGCAAGAGGTGGTCTAATTGTTGTTTCAAATGGCCTTAATACAGAACTAGGTACGATATTTTGGTTATTGAGAAGTGATGTGAGATTGAATAGTTTCTAATTGTTACTGCATGGTTAATGTATCTTACCCATTTCTTGGACCATTAAATAATGCGTGAGTTTTTTATTTTAGGAAGATTATTCTTGCACACCTCAATTCGCATCTTACACGCCCTTCTTTGCTTTTGACCGTCAAGTTGAATAAATCAAAAGAAACAATTAGCATCAAATAGGCGTGTGAGAAGTTAAAAGGATGTGTTTAGCTTTTCTCATATTTTAAAGTCTTGTTAAAATTAGAAACATGTGTTGCATTATTATTGTCCTGTCTCGTAAGGCGAGGATGGTCGAAGCCCCGTCCTTACAAGAGGAAAAGTTCGATACTTACTTATATCTGATGAAAGAGGGGTTCAGCAGAAAGTAAACTCAATGCCTAAAAGCGCTCAATCTATAGAAAGCAACTGAATACTCGGAGGATTTTCGATTGCTGGCTACTGAATATTTCGACTAGAGCCAAATACTTATGGCCTTAATTGTCATTTCATGTTAGAGAAAACAAGCCTTTTCATCATAATTTTTTTAGAGATACGTTTCTTGCGCAGGGTTTAAGCCTAAGTTTCGTTTTTATGTGGCTTAGCTGAACTTCACATCCTCCTTAGTGTAAAAATATCGATGTCCTAAAAAAAAAATAATAATAAAAGGCTAAGGTTCGCTTTTATTTGCAGAGTGAATTCATTTTGAGTACTTTTTTCAGCAAAAAACTAAAGATGAAAAATGTAAGAAATTACAGACCGACACTTGTATTAGCATTTTCAGCCTGAACTGGAAACAGCTACCTCACAAGCATCTGCCTCACACGCTGCGTTTGCTGGTTCATCAGAGAAACTAGGAGCTTTTGGAATCAAACCAAGCATCTTGAACATGAGTTGATCAGCATCAAAATCGTTGTTCGGTGTAGTCAATAGCTTCTCCCCAGTGAATATTGAATTTGCCCCGGCAAGAAAACACAATGCCTGCTCGGGCATAGAGAACCTAACTCTGCCAGCTGACAATCTGACCATTGCATTTGGCATGACTATACGTGCTGTGGCAATCATCCGTATCATCTCCCAGATTTCAACCGGCTGAACATAGACATAGCAACAGCAATTATGTTAAGCTACTTGAGTCTTGGAACATCAATAGAATTTAGCGAATGCAACTGGCATGATGATTGATGGCTCTAGATGTTATGGTTACAAAGAAATTCGAACCATCAAAGGATATCAACAGTTATTGCTACAACCTGTACTTCCAAGTTTAGAGTTAACAATGCAGACTAACCTTTTGATCTTGAAGAGGTGTTCCTTTCACTGAAACCAATGCATTGATGGGGACGCTTTCTGGGTGAGTTGGGAGTGTTGCTAATGTATGCAGCAAACCAACTCGATCCTCCTCTGCTTCTCCAAGTCCTATTATTCCTCCTATTTCATAATAAAATAAACAAGCTAAACCGCACCGTCCACGTAATATCCATTCTTAGTTTCCTCAACATATTTGAAAATGTTGACGACAAGCACTAAAATGTTTAAAATTGGCACGACAAACGATGGTAATTACCATAAGATTCCAACTCATAGGAAATTATATTCTAAAAAGTTTACGATTAAAATCGTCAAAAAATTTCAAAAGGTGCCATAAAATGGGGGATACTGAGAGGAAAGAAAAGGGCAAAATATCTGGACAAAAACCCTTTGCATTATTAGGAGATTGTGTATCTAAAAGACCATTGCATCATTAGGAGATTATAAATAAAACCAGCATAGCTGTCTTTCAAAGTCAAAAGTACACATTTTAGGGATGTTTAAATTTCTTCAGCTCAGTAGAATTCTGAGTGAACTTATATAAGTACCTTAGAAATTAGGCTGATGTGGAAGTTAACTGGTTAATACAAGCTGAACTGGAAAGCTCTTTAGCAAAAATATTTACGAGAATGAAAACTCAAAGCTTTTGAAATTCCATTTCATACATACTCTGAAAACTAGTGTGGCTTTAATTCGTGAAATATGTGAGTAACTTGCAAGTTCAGCAAAAACCATACATAAAGGAGGACAAACAAATATGTTTGAGCATACAGCTTTGGTACAAATGTTCTAACAACAGAAGCCAACAAATTAAAACAACACCACTGTGAGCTTAGTATGCAAGTATGTAACCATAGATAGGAGACCAATCCTTTACATTTTAATTACGGACCCAAAAAGAAAAAAACAAGTCAGAATTTCTTCCCCTGTTTACTTTTAACAAATGTGTTTTACACTATTAGGTTTGGAGAAGAAGAAAGAATCTATCACATGCATCAGGCTCGACAACTATTGACTTCTAGAATTGATGCAAGTGATTGTATTCAACGGTAAAAAACAGTTTTTACCTGAACACACATTAATTCCCGCATCCCGGACATGCTTAATGGTTTCCAAGCGTTCATCATAGGTCCTTGTGGTAATGATATTCGGGTAATATTCCCTTGAGGTGTCAAGATTGTGATTATAAGCTGTCAGGCCTGCTTCTTTGAGTTTCAAAGCTTGTTGCTTTTCTATCATGCCTAAGGTGCAGCAGACTTCCATTCCCATACCCCTGGAATGTGTATCAACACAAGTTAACTGTTGTACAAAACCAAAATATGGTGCAAAGCAAGATGACAATAATGCAGAGAGAGAAAAAATGGACCCTATAAAATGTAATAATGAAATTCGTCTTTCTATACTGAACGCAATATAAAATGTTTTATTACCTTATGTCTTTTACATATTCAAGGATCTGGTTAAAGTTTGTCTTTCTTCCTATTGTATCCCTCCAGGCAGCACCCATGCAAAACCGTGTGCTTCCAGCCTCTTTTGCCTGCCAAATCATGACTTAAAAAATTAGGACATTGTTGAGTCCGCATCTAATTAATTCACAAGCAGGAAATCATAAATAGTCTGACAAATCATTTCTGCAGGTGAAGAAGGGAATGGACAACTTGAGACCAATAGACAATTGGTAAGGTCGAGTATTGTTCCTCTCTACAACAAGTGTGCCACTAGTAGTACTCAAAAGCAGTTCTTGGAGGAATCAAAATTTAAATGAGAAGTATTATCATGATTTTAAAGGACAAAATCTACTACCAAAAGTTTTACCAAAATAACCCCTGAATGCAACAAGTGGTGTAAATGGGTAAGAAGGTATGAATTTCACAGTTAAGTTCATGACTCCGAACTCCAAGGACATAAGTTTAATGTTGCTGACACTATGGTCCTAGGGGAATATCTGTGATGCAAAAATCAGATGATCATGTGCAAAAGCCAATCATCTATGATATTCAATGATTCAGCCATAAGAGCAAATATTCACGGTTGCATAACAAACATTAATAGAATCAAGGACCAATGTATGTAAACCAAAATATTGGACTTGGCCACTAGTTGGTATTGATATCAAGGATATCTCCCATAAACTCTTACCATGTTATCTGTTCATGCACGTTTCAACATTCCCGTACAATAAGATACTGTAATGTTAAATTGATAAGCTTTAGATAATTTAACCACTTAGTATAACATCTTATAACATTTTCAACGATGATGTTTCTATTTAGCACCAAGTGCATCAGCAGTTCTGCAACTTCAGCTACAGTCCTTAAATTTCTTTTTCATTGAATAAATATAAATGATAAGACTAGTTATTGTAGGTCAAACTAATGCAATCTTTTAATAATACCTTTAGAACACACATTCCCGTTAAAGCGTGACAAAAGTTGTAATTGCTTAGGGATGTTAATATCACTGTTAACTTTTAAATGCAAGGTAAAGCCACAAGAATAAGAAACTGACCCTCTGTGCTGCTTCCATGACAGCATCCTTTGTCATAAGCTTTTGGGCCTTGAGTCCTGTGTTATACCGGGAGGATTGAGGACAATATGAGCAATCCTCACTACATCCACCAGTCTTTATAGAGAGGAGAGTACACTGCTGCACTTCCCTAAAATTATGAGCGTGCCTATGAACTTGAGCCTGAAAACACAAGAGAATCAGTTATTAAGTATAACACTAGCATAATGAGATTGTAGAAAAACAAGAATTCAAGACAACAAATTGGACGAAGAAATCAAAAAGTATATTGCTTTCAAAGAAATGGATGAAGAAACCAAAAAGGATATTGCTTTCATTTTAAAAAAAAAAAAAACCAATAATTTACCAAACCACTCGGCAGTCCACACATTTGACAGTGCCACTATCTAGTACAATAGTTACAAAGTCAACTAGAACCAAAACTTCATACACCCTAAAGTTCACAATATAGGATGAAAAGATTTTTTTTTTTAAGCCCTGGGGTTCCCAATGGAACAGGTAACAAAGCAACTTTTCCGCCCACTGCCACTAAATCCCCCCTCACCCCACCCTCGCCCACCACACACACCACCCCCACAAACAACCATACCCCACCACACCACCCCCACCCCCCCCCCCCCCCCCCCCGGGCGGGGGGCCATAACTTATGGTGTTCCTTATACAAGCGGGTATTGGGACATTTGAACAACGGGCCTCGAGACTCGAGTCAGTTAGAAGACACATGAAAGTATTGTATTGATTCAATCAATGGGTACATTGGTCACATTCAATTAGCTTTACTAACAGTAACAACCTTATAACTAATTACAGCTGGAAATAACTAACACAGTTATCATCTACTGTAAAAAGACTGTAACTTTACCGAACCTGCTCTTGTCTATCAAAAACTGTATACCAAAACTAAGCAATACCAAATTTGGGAAAAACTTTAAAAATTATAACAAAGAATTTGGCCAGATAAAATAATTATATAGGTCCGGAAACTAATTACGCATTCTCAGAATATAGCATGATATATCACAGTCATTTTCCTTTTGACTATCTCCATTTTCTCGGCAGCCAAACAGGGGATAACAAAAATCAAAAGAAAAAAAGGCAAGTGGAGGAAGAAATGGTACTGACTCCGTGAAAAAGGAGATCGAGAACAGGAGAGCCGTAGACGCCCTTGATCTCGTCGCGGGTCCAGTCATTTCTGGGGCCTTGTGCGATTGTTCTCTCAGCTTGAACTGCAGCTGCAGACGATAAGGAAGAGTAAAATGAAGAATGCAACACAACCGCCGACGGTCTCAGCTGGCCACGCACTACGGACCTAAAGGAAAACATCTCTCCCAGCGCTTCTTTCTTTTTCTGATTTCGTTTTCTCAGGAAAACCGAGATTTTCCTGGAAAATTAGAGAAAGACGGGGATAGAAAACGACAGTGGCTGCGGGGGCGGAGAAAGCGACAGAGAACAGAGACAACAGAAGGTCATAAATTCCAAAATCAACACCTACCCATTCATTTTTTTATTTTTTATTTTTTTTTGTCAAACAATACCGACGAAATTAGAATCATTATGTCGTGGTGTAGGAGCTCAACATTTTTTCACCATTGTGGTAAAATGTCATTTGCTTAATATAATTAATATATTATTTGACCAACTCTAACCCTTACAGTAAAACTCAAATTTTAAGTTTTAAACCTACCACAACTTGTTCCAACTCTTGGGTCAAATATGAATTTTAATCCAAAACTCATTTTTGGGGCCAATTTAGCCTAAAATTCCCCCGGATAGTGGGTTGACGTACCATATATGTATATTTTTTGTTTTGTTTTATATTTATAAATTCATTAAATTCAATGACTAAGATCTAATATGATCAAATCTAACGGTAAGCAAAATATCTAATGGTCCAAATTTAAATCCAACAACTAAAATAATTATAAAAAAAATTTCATGTGTTTCATATTCTTTCATATTGTTCCACGAGTTTCATGGTGTCGGTTTAGTGATTTTTCAATATTTATCGGAATCTAAATATTTTTAGCTTAAAATATTCATAAAATTAAATTTAAATAGAGTACATAAATTTTTTTTTTCCTGTAATAATCTCAGACTAAAAATTTAACATATAAAAGTTGGAGCAGAAAACATATTTCTAAGTTAAAGCTTAAATTTTTTTAGTTAAAAATTTTAAGTTTTAATTTCAAGAATTGAAGAGAGTCTTATGATTGATTTTTGTTTGTTTTTTATGCACAGGTCACCCAACACACCTAACTCAACACACCTAACTAATAAAAAATGGGTTTGTGGTGATTAGAGGGTGATTATTTACCTCTTACTCTCATCGAAAGATTTTCTAATGAGATCGGAGTACGGAATTATACCTTATATGTTATTGTACAATTGAATAAATATTTGAAAAAAATATTTTTTTATTTTATAATGACATATAGTATACCGTCCGTGTTTTTATCATCGTAAAAAATATTTTGCTCTCCTCCAATCCTCCTTGTACTCTCTCTCATGCTAGCTCAGGAAAAATCTAGTCATGCTAAACAGAATATTTGAACCACCAAATGTCAAAACTAAAAGTGAATTATTTCAGCCAAAAACCCTAATTTAGATATTGGTCAAAATGATCACTTTCCGAGAGAAATGTTGAATAAACTCTTTCAAAAGTGAAACGTTTTATAGAATCTTTGCAACCTTATGTTTTTTGCACAATATTTATAATAATAACACAAAAATTAAAAACTGTAAGATAACATAGAGACCTTAAAAAACACTTTAAAAAAGTCTCTTTTAACATTTCTCCTTTTACGAATTTTTCTTTTTGTTGGAGAAGAAATGAATCAAATGGTCAAAGTCAAAGAGAGATTGTTGAAATGACTTAAATGCCCTGACAATTTGTTTCGTGCTCGCATTCTCTCTCAGATGCGTCCACTGCAGGCCAAACTCACAGCGGTGGTTTGCGTGAGATTGGCGGCGACTCTCCATGTCGAGATGGTTGCTCCTCCCTCTCATCAGACTCGTCTTGTTCGTTGCCTCGTTTCGGGTTCACCGGTTTTTTTGCCCCCCTCACAAGCTAAAAAATGCCGGGAGAGTTGTACAGATTATAATGGGGAGAACACAGGAAATGCGACACTTTCCAAACAGCAATAGGAATGGAACACAAGCGCCCGCACACTATGACACCCACACAGCTGCTAAAACCATCAGCTGTACCGAAAGAAATGCGAAAAACTTGATTCCGAAAGTAACAAGTAACTCGAATTATGTTGTACATGTCTTGATACAAAGGTTCGTATACATTTAACACGCTTGAACTAACCAAGCAGTCTGGTCTCTCTAAAGATCGCTGAACATATGATCGAAAAGAGAAGGAACGAAAAAGATTCAATTTAAGTATAACACCACAAAATGCATCATAGCCTTCAGATTAAGTTCCCATTCTGAGACTGGTTGCCACCGCAGAGTGCAAATTTGCTGTCTGGAGAGGCTCAGTCAGCATTTTCTTCCTTAATTGCGACCTTTTTCCCCTTGGCTCTTTGTGCAGTTCTTCGTTTGGCTTGAATTTGGTGTACGTATTCCGCTATTATGACATGGAACTTTGGAGCCAGCTTACTTGATGAGGACATATTCAGGCCTGCCTTCTTCAAGGCCCTTCTGACAGCCTTCTGAGCCACTTGGAAGTGAATTGGGCAAAGAGAAGGAACAGTGGATCTCAGTATCGGCTTCCCACATGTTATAGGTCCTGCCTGAGCACTAGATATATAGAGACAATCATTTAACAAAACTGTCAGTTGAAAATCAATCTCTGCATGGTGCGTATACACAAAATAAAACTAAAGAGAGAAAAAGTTGGACAACTAATGCTTGGTGTATTAGCATTTATTATAATAAGCTTACAAATTTGAACTGCACCATCCTGTGATAGCTACAAACGATTCTCTGCATTTCCTATAACGAAAATATCCCAGTACTAGCAAAAGGGACGCATCAACTTAGATGATCTTGAGTAGAATCGAAAATTCACATCAAAGCATGCACAAACAATAATTAGAATTACTTTGATCTACTCATCTGATGACACAGTGCCACCTAAAGGGCGACTGAAAATCTATTTCCTAGAGTAAAAACCCCATCCTCCTTGCATGGACCCACCGTCACTTTTATAGCTATTTCATTATCTCTCCACATTTGAAATCTTAACCTGGCTTCCACATTTCAGTCGGTGCAATCAATGATGTACGAGATATGACTACTAGACTACTATAATATGGTTCATGACTAAAAGGCCTTTTCAAACAAATGTTTGGAGTTGCACCCTTTTTTACAGGACACAATTGTTTTATTAAAACGCAGAAGAAACGAGCCATATGGTAAAACCTAGAATAAAAGCCCAACAAGCACTAAGAAACAATGAAGTACACTAAAGAAGATATAGGGTTTAACAATGTTAACTGAAATTTGCCCTGTCCTATGTCAACTAGACAATTTTCCCCTTCACCTATGGGTATTAATTCTCATCTTTGAGCCCCTACTATGCAATTGTTGCAATTCTGTCACCAGTTCTTTGTGAAGTCGTTAACCTTGCCATAAGTTGTTAGTCTTGAGCAGCAGCTAACAGACCATTGCAAGAAGATGTCCACCTTCGTTAACCTTGCCATATGTTGTTAGTCTTGAGCAGCAGCTAACCAACAATTGCAAGAATAGTCCACCTCCCTCCATCAAGCAGTCCCACATGCACTTTTTTCAAAGTGTGGAAAGTAAATACAAAAAGCACCGAGCTACCTGTAGTTTTCTAAAGGCTAAAGAAGTGCAGACCATCATGAGAAATGCCTATACTGGCAATATCGGGCTTAGTACTTATCACACCAAGAACTAACAGAAGCAAATCACGGACTATGTTGTTTTCTTAGTTGTTAATGGTCACATTATGTATCCTATTACAGTGAAAGTGTTGCATCAAGTATGTCCACTTCGTGGGTTTGAGGAGAAGACCCTCCTGATGTAAGTGCCATTCAAATTCTAGTTCAATACGAGTCATATAGAGTGTTGGTTCTGCTAAAACTACATTGCAAAGACTATGCATTCATAATACTAGCATTTGGTCTTCCTCTTTTGCCAAGCAATCTTGGCCTTTTCCCTTTAGCTCTTCCTTTTAAAACTTAAGCAATCCCTTCCAGAAAATTCAGCTCCTTGATTTTCTCCTCCACCTCCTTCTCCTTCCCTAATCCCCATTAATCTCCATATTTCAATCCATTCCACGATCCTTCCCTCCCTTAAAAACTGCCACGTCCTCATGAACTCAGCCTAGCTATCCATGTTCACCCCTTTCTTCATGCAATTCTGTGAAACACTCTTTAGACATATGATGTTCTAACCACGTGTTCTCAAACCAATTCACATTATTTTTGTCCAACAAATAGACAATTATCCAAGGTCATCCTAGCAAGGGCTTTTTGTCAGACACGTGCCAAGACCTTCCTTCCACTTGCTGGAAGAAAAATACAATTAGGAAATCTATCCAAGCTGTTAAAAAATCCATCCTGTGGAGCTAGGTAACTCACATTAGTGTATCAGATGAAATCATTATACTCCTACGTCTTGTCAAGCAAATTGCAACCCCCATAGATTTAATGTTATCCTACTTGTCTCCTTGTCCTATTTCTTCTTTATATTCTCTCCAACTCTCTCCTCGTCTATCAATTTCTATCGGGACAATCTTTATGCTCCCAATTTCCCTCCTTACCTACATAAATTGCAATTCGAGCAATTTCTGCTTGAAAATCTTCTGACTGTAATTATCAATCCATTCAAATGTATTTTACGATTAAGCAAAACTTTCCTAGATAAATGACCAAACATATTTTCTACCAAATTCAAATCTCAATATCCATGAATACAAAAGATTAAGGATATATATTACCATCACGCATTATGATGCACAGTACGCACTATTTAGACATATTTCTACATCCATATCAGGCTTTACTTGATATCAAAAGTGAATATAATCATCTTAATGGAATGGTTACAAAGCGCATACTCCCTATTTTCAACCAAATAAGTTTCTTTCAGCTTAGTATATCGTACTTAATCACCGGATACCCTCTATAAATTGCTCACGGTTTGTCTCGGAAGATTCCTAGAAATAAAAGAAAAGGTGCCCGGAGACCTCACATTTTTCATTTTCTACAAGCATATTTTCTTATCGACACTTCAAAGTTTGAAATTGGCAGAATAACCAATAGAAATAAGCCAAAAATAACTTAAAGTAATTCAATTAAGCGCTGCGCTACCCTCGTAAAAGCCTCATGAAGTTAAAATTCAATACGGAAATTACAATTTAAGCCTTCCAATGCACGAAAATTAGTCTATTCAATCAATTGATGAAAACCCCAGAGATATCTTCACAAATTAACACCTACCCATCAAAGAACTAATCGAAAATAGCAAATTTACCTCTTGATAACATAATCACAAGGCTTATAGAGCTTCTGCTTCGGATCCGAAAGAATATGAAGGTGGCAAAAGCTCGTCATCGCCATGGCCTTGCCTTTACACTGCTGAGAAGCACATTGCAGTTTCCTTTGGGCATCGAAGCCGGCGGCAGAACCACGATTATTGTTGTTGCAATTGCCGTTGATGCTGTTGTTGTTCTCATCAGTGCCTTCAGCAACCCCAGCAGCGTCTCTCTCGTACCTGTGCTCTTCCTTGTAAGGGCTGACACCGTAGTTCCACCAGTACTCCCTGTACCCAATCCGGAGCTCCTCCATGAGTGCCCAGTAGTGGGATTTGTAGCATTTTTTGAGCTCTCTGAGGTAGGAGCGGCGGCGGCGGATGAGCTCGTGGTGGGTGATGTGGGAAGCGTGTGAGAGGACGATTTCTTCTTGGGACGGTGGGACAGGAGGGATTGTGGAGGTGGAAGGGTTGGAGTTTGGGGTTTGGGTTTCAGTGATGGGGTTGAGGCTCGTTGGGTTCTTGGGAGGTTTGGAAGCAGAGAGAGGAGGATGGGTCTTGGAACCAGAGGCAGCCATGGGGGTTGGAGAGAGGGACAGAAATTGAGAGAAATAATTTCATTTACGTGGGCACCCACACGAATTACAAAAATAAGTAAATACAAAAAATCACCATTAATTAATCATTTCACCAAGAAAATTATTTTCACACTTTACATTTTTAAAGGAAAACTAATGAAAATGACTTAAAAACTTTGAATTTTAACGATAAGGATAAAATAAAGGATAAAGTGAGTAGTAATATGATTGACTTTTTAGTGTAAAAATGTGATTTTTTCATTAAAGTGAACAGTACCGATAAATTTTTCATTAAAGTTCTCAAATTTTAATTGTGCATTAAATAGCATTATTATTTATAGGATTAAGTACCTAAAACCCCTTAACATTTTAGAGTCATTCTAAATTGATCTCAACATTTTTAAGCATCCTCAATAAATACCTAATCTATTGAAAATGTCACATCTGTTAAGTTCCAAATAAAAATCAGTTAAATTAACTGGGCGTTAGTTGTCTCCAAAATCAATAGAAGATCATGAAAGTATAGTTTCCACCAACTAACGGTTACCACCCCCTCATCATGCCACCACCTCTAAACCAAACGCAAAACCACCAACTCCACCCAACAGCTCAAATCATGAACATCAAGAATAAGGTCTTGAAGGTTTTGAAATAATATGGACTGCTATAATACGGCCACCACCATTTTCATTGGCCACAAAGAAGAAGTGAAAGTTTTACGAACCAAAAATTAGTGAACGAGGAAATCACATGAGCGGTCCTTGAAACCCTATTTGAATTCTCAATCCTTTTATTTGTTAAGAGTTTGCCCTCTTGATGTAATTTCCATTTGGATCCATTTTCGGTTGAGTCTAATACATGTTTGATCATTGGATTCCATATTATATAATCCATGTTTGAAATTTAGATAATCTGTGTTTGAAATTTCATTTTGAGCCACCTAATATTAATATCGTCCATGATATATCAAGTTGCTGAATTTTGCATATAATGTAACATCCCACATCGACCAACGAAGAGGAGGTGATGTGCCTTACATGTACATGCCCACCTCCCTATAGCACGAGGCCTTTTGGGAACTCACTGGTTTCGGATTCCATCGGAACTCTGACGTTAAGCAAGTTTGGGCTAGAGCAATCCCAGGATGGGTGACCCAGTGGGAAGTTGCTCGTGAGTTCCCAGAAACAAAACCGTGAGGGCATGGCCCAAAGCAGACAATATCGTGCTACGACGAAGCCAGTTTGGGATATAACAAAATGGTATTAGAGCCACTCATGCTACGGTGGAGTTGAGACTGGGATGTGACATATAATCTACCTTTGAAAAATTAATTGGCGCTTAACGGATGTGAAATTTTTAATAAGTTGAGTACTTGTTTGGAATGTTAAAAAAAAATTGAGACCAATTTGAAATCACACTAAAAAATTGAGAGTTTTTTTGGTACTTAATCCTTATTTACAAACACAAAAAATTTTAAAAAATCATAATTAAATATTTGAATTTTAGAATCCCAATAAGAATTGTCTTTAGTAAAGTATTAAAAAATAATCAGAAATCAAATCTCAGTTATAGATAACAAAAATGTTTTATTGAAACGATAAGAAATATTATGGATTTGGATCCTCTCATGAACTAATGGAGAAAATCCTCCTCATCAATCATCCAGGACCTTGGATTTTTATCCAATGACTACAATCATCATAATTCTAAGGGCATTATAACTAATAGTAAAGCGGGCGAGGCAACGGTAACTCTTCGTTATGGCATTTGTGGAACATTGCGAGCATTGTTTTGTCATCGTCGGTTCCAACAGGTGAAGTCGAGGGCAAGGGAATGACCCGAGCCTCGGCCGCTCTTGTTCGACCTTGTGCTCACCAGAAGAGGTGAAGAGCCGAATTCCATATATTTTTTGAAAAACTAATAAAAAAAAACTTGAAAACTGAGTTTTAATAAAAAAGATAAAAATGTGTTGTAAGTGAATAATATCATAAGTAACTTTTAGAAGTAAAAATGTCTTTAACGTTAAAAGTAAACAGTATCATCAGTGTTTCATTCAAATTCCCTATATTTTTCATATGTGAGACACATTCAATCAACGTTTTGGGATATAAATGAATTTAGCTTTTATTCCTATTCCGCTTTAATCACTCGAATTGCATTTTGATCTCACTTAGCCCCTTGCATAATGTATGACGTGGCAAGTGAGGTGGACTTTTTTTTTTTTTTTCTTATTTGTATGTCACATAGGCGCCACGCGGGCATAAAAGTGAAAAAAATATAGTTCTTAATCATTCTACAATATACCCCCTTCACCATAACCAGATTGCTTTCAAAATTCACATCAAATTTGTCACATTTGCTTATACTAGTTTTGGGCACAGAGAGAGAGAGAGAGAGAGAGAGAGAGAGAGAGAGAGAGAGAGAGACCAAGGCACCTCTGGTTTTGCATCAATTTACAAATTCAACAATATGCCATAAGATTTGTGCACCTGCCGGCTGTAGAGGATCGCTCAGTCGGCGTTTTCTTCCTTAACTGCAACTTTTTTTCCCTTTGCCCTTTGTGCCGTTCTTCGTTTGGCCTTAATTTGGCGTACACTTTCTGCTAATACGACATGGAATGTTGGAGCAAACTTACTTGATAAGGTGTTATTAAGGCCTGCCTTCTTCAAGGCCTTCCTGATATTCTTCTGATTCATTTGGAAGTGAGAAGTACAAAGAGAAGGAACAGTAGATCTCAGTATTGGCTTCCCGCAGGTTATTGCCTGAGCACTAGATATCAGCCAATCAAATCAACAAATCTGTCAGTTGAATGTTCAAACATTTCCATATCAATTAACGATATTCTCAGTCGAAGAATCAATCTCTGCTATGAATATACAAAAAAATAAAACAACGACAAAAAGAAAAGAACAAAGTTGGCCAACAAACGGTTGGTGTATCATAAGCATACAAGTCTGAAACGAACTATCGTGGGACAGCTACGAAGGAGATTCCTTGTTTCCTAAAAAGAAAATATCCCAGTACTAGGAACGAACATGCACCCGTATACGGGGCACCTCAACTTAGATGATCTTGATTAGAAGAAGTTCACATCAAAGATGCACAATCAATTGGGATTACTTTGATCTACTCCTGTCCTTTATTGGGTTTGGATCAGAATGAAATCCCAGGCTATATGGAGGAGACAAGAGTTATAGCAGCAAGAAGTAGCACCTACTAGTTCTTATATGTAATTAAACATCTGTCCACCTACTTGAAACATTATATGATAATGCTACAATTCCAGCGCAGGAGAAATTTGACACATTCAAAATCACAACTAATGGTCCCAACTCTGCTAATGCAGAAGAGATGCAAAAGGTTAAAACAAAATGTTTCCCCACGGTGCCAATTTTATTTTGTTTCTAGACCATGAGAGGAAAACCTAGAACAAAAGCTCAACAAGCACTAAGAAACAATCAGCACAAAGCTCCCACCAAATCAAAATGAATTATTGTAAAGGAGATTTGAATTTTAGCTTTGCTTTACTTCTTCTCCCTATGCTCCCTACTTCATCTGTGTTTCTCACCCTGTCTTACATTGGCCAATTTAAAAACAGTTGTGCCCTACTATTGGTATTAAATCCCATTTTGAAATCCCTACTACGTAATTGTTGCAATTCTATCAGCAGTCCTTCGTGAACAAGCCATTCTCCCTGTCATAAGTTGTTGTTCTTGACCAGCAGTTAATCAACCATTGCAAAAGCAGCCCACATTCCTCCATCGAACGGTCCCACATGCACTTTACATGCAGGGCAGGAAGGCACAATAGTTACCTACCTGTTGTTTTCTAAAGGAAAAGCAACACAGACCATCATGTAACATGCCTATACAGGATATATTGGGCTTTGTTATAAACATGAAGAACCAACAGCAACGAATCCTGGACTAAGTTGTTTTCTTAGTTATATTGATCACATTATGTATCCTATCCTATTACAGTGAAAGGGTTGAATAAAGTATTTCCACTTCGTGGACTTGAGGAGAAGATCCCCAAGCTCCTCATGCAAGTGCCATTCAAATTAGTTCAATATGAGCCATATAAGTGTTGTTTCTGCTAAAACTGCATTACAAGGACGTATTTATGATACTAAAATTTGGTGTCCTTTGCCATTACAATTTTGTCCTTTTTCCTTCCACTCCTCCTTTCAAAACTAAGCAATCCCTTTCCTTAGTGCATTCGGCTACTTGGGTTTCTCCTCCGCCTCCTTGTTCCCCAATTGCTTAACCTCCTTATTCCATTCCCTAACTGTAATTCCCTCATGAACTAAAAGCCTTGCCCTCCTTGTTTACTAATTTCTTCCCATGAGTCTGTAAAACATTTGAGAATCCTGCTCATACTCTCTATTCCAACGAAACAAGTTCCTCTTAGTGTAGGATATCCTAAATAATCACCGAAGACCCACAAGAAAGTTTTCACTGGTTTTGTCTCGAAACTTCCTATGAATAAAATATAATTCCCTGAGGTCTTAATCACAAATTGAAAATTAAAAGTTCTATAAAGTCTATGGTTTTAGCAAGTTTTTCCTGAAAATGCTCCATACCTCACATTTTTCTTTCCAGAGATAAGATAATAACTTGTTAGGTCTATTGTTGAAGTGACTTTCGTCAACAACAAGAATTTTTCGCCCTAAGTTCCAACAGATATTCAGAAACAAAAGATACAAAAACATATAATCACAACCACTCAAGTAAAAGCTGTACAATTCCAATGGCAGGCCAAAAAAGAAAGATTTTCAATTTGATTTTCTCTATACAAACAAACTAATCCAGAAAACAAGAATGATTGTTATTAAAGCTACACTTAATATCAGAAAAGGCAACACTCAAGTACAATATAAATCAAATCCACATCCTTCTTTCGTAAGTTCGTAACTATAACATTCTTCTGAAGATACTATTTGTCAGGAAAACAGAAACATATTAGAAGCTGAACACAGAAAACGGAAGGAAAAAAAAAAATCAAAATTAGTAGCATAACCAGTTCCTAAACAGAAATTTAAGACTATTCCACGAAATCCATCACAAACAAACACAGTAACACACTCATATAATTCGACGAAAGGCTACCCTCATAAAAACCCTAATTGAATTCAAAAATTGGTAGCGCAAATTAGAATCGAAATGTATCTAAACATTCTACTGCACAAATATCAGTCTTTTCAATCAACAGAGGACCAACCCAGAAGCATTCTCACAAATTAACAAACACCCATCACAGAATTACACAAAAAATTCAAACTTTACACAAGACAGAGAAAATTACCTCTTAATAACATAACTACAGGGCTTATAGAGCTTCTGCTTCGAATCCGAAAGAATATGGAGATGACAAAAGCTCGTCATTGCCATGGCCTTCGTCTTGCACTCTTTAAAAGCGCATTGCAGTTTCTTTTTCGAATCGAAGTCGGCCGCAGGACCGCCATTGTTGTTGTAATTGCTATTGATGTTGTTATTGTTCTCATCAGTGCCTTCAGCAACCCCAGCGGCGTCTCTCTCGCTCCTGTGCTCTTCTTTGTAAGGGCTGACGCCGTACTTCCACCAGTACTCCCTGTACCAAATCCTGAGATCCTCCATGAGGGCCCAGTAGTGGGCTTTGTAGCATTTGATGAGTTGCTTGAGGAGGTGGGAACGGCGGCGGAGGAGCTGTTCGCGCGTGATGTGGGAGGCACGTGAAAGGGCGATTTCTTCTTGGGTGGGTGGGATAGGAGGGATTGTAGAGGTTGAAGGGTTATTGATTAGGGTTTCAGGGATGGGATTGAGGGTTATGGGGTTCTTGGGAGGTTTGTAGCAAGAGGGAGCATGAGTCTTGGAACCAGAGGCAGCCATGGGAGCAAGGAAGGGCAAGGGTTGTTTTGCTGTGCGTGTGTTTGAGAGAGTCGGAAACAATTGTGTGAGAGTGCCGGTGACATACGACATCTGTAAAATACTTCTGGCCCTAATAAAAGGCATAAAAAAAAAAGGAAAAAAAGAAAAATTAACAAAAATTCCTCAAAAATTTTATATAAATGATAAAATAAAAGTGTAAATGAACAGTATCACGAATGACTTTTCAAGGTAAAAGTATTTTTAACGTTAAAATGAACTGTATCAGGAGTGTTTCATTAAGATTCCATAAAAACAAAAAAAAATTCAGCTTCATATTCTACACAGCATGTTATAGTTTGATTTCGAACTCTAGTGATATACAAGATAGTAGCCAAGAAAACTAACGTGACAAAGTCATTTAAAAAAACAAAAATTGAAAAAAAGAAAAGAAAAGGAAGAGCTCACAGCCTCCAACCGCTTCCTTCCCCGTTTCTCTCTTTTTGAATTTCCTGCCCCTCTCTGCCTTTCTTTCCAAATCAACTCTATCTCTATGACAAATAAATGAAAAAGATTTACAACGGATAATATGGTAAAGAGGCTTCAAGCTTCAATTCTTAAAGAATCTTCAAAAGTTTGAAATCTCATAATTATTCATAGCGACTGTCTTTATATTTGGGCCATGAGATTTTGGGAGCATGAGATGAGTCAATAAATTAGTAAATAATTATTAGTTTAATATTAAATCGTGCTCTAAATCATTAATGATCAACAATAAGTTAAAGATTTCAAGAGAAGAGAGTAAAGAACAATAAAATCTTATTGACACATATAAATAGCGTCAATTGAAGAGGATGTGATGGTTAAATCACAATCTTTGCGGCATTGGTGAATTGCACGATAGTGGTTAGGGAAGGCTAAAATACCTTTGTGAGACTTCTCGGGCCTCCAAATGATGGACTGTCGTGATGAAGCCACCATCTGGTTTTTATTTTTTATTTTTTATTTTTTTAAAGATTTAGTTTTACTACTTTATAAGTTGAAGAGGAAGGCAAAATATGATATGTGTTTTTTCTGTCCAACCCTTTTTATGATTTTGTTGATCTTTGTTATTTGTTATTGGAGGGTCATTAATTCTATACGGATTAAATTTAAAAAAGACTACAAAACAACTGACTGAAGTGCAGCTCTGAGTATTAAACTGCATACAAGAAAAAGGACAAGGATTGTTTACCCTCCTACTTCAGGTGCCCTCCCGTGTCCTTCTGTTTGTGTGGTCACAGGTAAACCACGTCAACATTTTATATTACTATTCATTTTTGTTTATTATCTCTATAAAAAAACAATATAAAATATTGACGTGACTTAACCTTGACCACACAAAATATAAGGGCACGGAGAACACCGGAAGTAGGAGGACATCCTTGTCCCAAGAAAAAAGAGGCAGACCATCTCAATTGCTTTCACAGCTCAATTATGGTGTCCCTTAGGTGTTTGATATTTATATGCGGGACATAAATTTGAGGCCCCTGAGATTGAGGGCCAGAAGTTATCGCCTTACCCAAAAAAATTGACATTTTGTTGTTTGCTTTTTGGAGTCACAAGTCTGGAGCATACACGTGGAAGGAAATGCAGCAACATAAATTGATTTGGGAATGGTTTTCTTTGAGTCCGGTTCCGTTTTTTTTTTGGTTTTCTCTACATTGCAGTAAATATCCAAACTTCTTCCGCCTTCAGATAATCCCTTACAAAGTAAATATGCCCTGAGCAAAGCTACATTTGGGACAGGATTGTAGACTTGGCTTTTGGGTTTCATTTGAATTCCTAGAGATTGCTAGCAAATTTATGCTAATGAGGCAATTTGTCCTCAGTGAACAAGATATGAAGAAACAGGGTTTTACTTTTCGGCAGAAATGAAGCTTTCTAGGATGCCACACTATGTGAAAAGGCTAGGTTTAAGGGTGTATGAGTAATTTTCTATCAAGTTTTGGTTATAATTATCATAAATATAAAAAGGTAGTCATAATTTTATATGAGGTCCAAATTTTGGTTATTTTTCCAAATTGTCCATGTTTCAATCAAATTGGAATGCATGAGATGTGTGGACTTTTAGGAGATTATAACTCTTATTTATGTGATGAATAGACTTAAATTGATTGAATCAAACAGAGTAAAACCAATTTAGTTTGATTCGATTTTAATAATAGTATAGATCAATACCAACCAGATGTAATTAGTCAACATCAAACGATATTATCACACTAAGGAGGATGAGTGAACTTAGTCTCATAATAAGGTAACAATAATGTGATTCAAATTCGTCTTTGATAATAATTAAAATTAAAACTTTTTGCTTATAAATGAAGAAAAATATCATTAAATCCGAAGTTCTTATCAATTCCCCTAAAAACTGAGACTGTCCGAAACCGAACCCAACATAAACCTTTCGCACCCTCTCTCTCGTTTTACGCTTTCCCTAGTTGAAAAGCTTCCGCCCTTCGCTCTGTGGCCTTTGAAGCTAAATCTAGGGTTTTTCTCTCAAATCGCAGTCCTCGATCGGCCTTTGCTCCGGTGAGTGGCACGCACCTTGAACCAAGCGGGTCGTCTCCTTTTGTTTCTTCTTCAATTGGGTTATCTATATCTTTCTGAATTTCAGTCTGCGAATCGGATTTGCTTTCCCGAAAAGCTGATTGAAACGAAGAATTATCAATTCAAAAGTTCTTCTGCAAAATTCTTGGTGCTGCATTCTTGGAGTCCATAGCCCTCCAAAGACGAAGACAGTGGAGGTGTGAACAAGCACCAATCGAATTTGGTAGGGTTCTTGGATCATCCCGGTGCTATCCTTCAGGTATTAGCAGTAAATTTGGAAAATTTCGTTGTGTATGTTCAACTTTGGCTATTGGGTTCTGATGATGCCCTTTGTTTGGTTAGAGATATAATCAGTTACTGAAGTAGAAGAAAGGAACAATGGCGATAGCGGCCCCTGGGCAGCTTAACCTCAACGAGGTCCCTTCATGGGGTTCCAGAAGCGTCGACTGCTTCGAGAAACTGGAACAAATTGGCGAGGGAACCTATGGGTTAGTTCAATTCCATGCATCTCAGTTGTTTTAATTTTTTTTCAGTAGTGTCAGTTTTGGGCTATTGTTTGTGGCATCTCTGATTCTGTTGTTTCTGGTTTGATGTTTTGACAGATAATTTGATGTTTGGTCAGTGAAATTTAATTGTAAAAGTTAATATTGCAATTTGCTCCATTTTTTTGTAGGTCTCATATGGGTATTGATTATCGACAACAAATATTTAAACAGAGTTGTTATTGTACTTTGACCCTCACGAGGGAACTGAAATTGTTGTTTTTGTTATGAACTTGCTACTGCAATGTCTTGATGAATGTGCGAAATACATCTATTGATTAACGAGTCTGCTGATAAAGCATTACCACAATTTGTTTTTTTGTGCTGATTATACCTCATACATCACTAACAAGGCACTGTGTGCTCTAGTCGCTAGACAAGGGCCAATAGGTATTGACATCCCAATGCCTTGGTAAAAGATAGATCACCATTTGGACACACACCAATATTTTCATTCGGAAAGCATTTTGATTTCTTGTGTCTGTCTTATTTTTTTATTCACTAAGTTGTAGAAGACATAGCTATTCAAAATCTACAGGGCATTAGATATTTGATTTGTGTTGTTTCCACAACAGACGTTGTAAAGCTCTCTGTTTAGCACTTAAGTTTTTTCTTTTGTGTTTACCTCAACACATAAGTGTACTGAAATGTTGTTTACCAGTGTATAATTTTACATGAATAGAACAGTGGCCCAAAATTACAACATCTTTCCTATTTCAACTTTTGGGTTAAGAATTCTATTCCTACCAAAGTGTATGTAGCTTTTCCTATAGTACCTCTGTTACTATGATATTATAAAGCCTCTTCTGAATGAAACTTAAACGTAGCCAGTGCATAAAAAATAATCTCAATGCTTAACCTTAAATTTGTTTAAGATCACCTTGAATGTTGAGCATATGGCACCGTGACCTGCCCTTCCTCTTTACTTTAAACTCTCTCTAGTCAAAGACCAGTTGAATGTACACACTACATATAATCCTCTAAAGAACCTTTTTCCAAAGGAGATGCATTGTAATTTCTGTACATCAATATACAGTGTGTAAACAAACATGATAATATTGACAGTGGTTCAAGGATAAAATCACTGACACAGAGAGAACGAGTGTGGTTCTTCACGTAACAGAAGTGATTTTTTTTTTTTTTTTTTTGAGAAGAAACTATAACAGTTTATTAAAAAAGAATAGTGAAAATACACAGAAGTGGATAAGAAATCCACCAAGAACAGAACAAGAAAATATCTCAAGAGGATCTGATTACAAGTAGGAAAACCTCAACCAAAATCACTTTACAACTGCTAACATATCCCACAGTATGTGAGAAAGAGAGTAATTCTTAAAATCATTCGAAACTGAAGTGATAATAAAGAATGCAAATGCTGCAATGGTGCGTTAATTCAAATATCATCTAAGATAAATTGTGTATATTTGTCATGCATGTTTAATCAGTGCATATGTTTTGTTTTACTTCTGTGATGAGATAATCAGGTCAGATATTTTTTAGCCGAGTTCGACAATAGCCGCACCAAAATCTTCTTATGTTAAACTTCACTAACAATACAAGATCCCTGTTTCCTTCCCTGTCTTAAAATTACAAGATTCAGTGGTTTGAGCTTGTTCATGACTGTCAGGTTCTACTTTAATGATATTTCAGATGTTATGTTAGCTCTTAGTTGTTCGGTGATAACTTCATTGGTCATACTGTTGTAAATCATCACTATGTGTATTTATTCGTTAGTTGATTATTAATGAAACTTTCGTAAGGGAACCCTTTTGTTTTCTATAACATTTTGGAATGCCAAATTTTTTAGTTCTCCATCGAAGTTAAGAGCATTCTCTTTCTGGTATTTTTACCTTGTGGTTGCTGATGCTGTCATAGTAACTGCTTTATAATTGCAGCCAAGTTTACATGGCTAGAGAAATAAAGACGGGAGAAATCGTCGCTTTGAAGAAAATTCGGATGGACAATGAGAGAGAGGGGGTATGTCATGCTTTTTCCTTCAC